TCTTTAGGATGTAAACCTTCTATCGTAAGCGTAATGATTCAATAAGAGTAATTATCGCGATTTGCCCATTTTTGTCAAATTCAGCGTCAAATATCTCGGCGTGATCTTTACTTTTACTGGAAAATCTCATTATTTCCCATTAATAGCATTCTTTTTTCCTTTTGTTCTGCCATGATATATTTGCGAAAAAAATCTCCCATATATGCCCAAGCGTGGAAAATTGTTATGAGGAATAACAATTTTATACTCTCAACAGTTGATTTCTAGATGATGAGGAATCGCGTGATGATCCCATTGTTAATAGAACTCCAGATGACTTGTCAAATGAAGTTGATGTTAGAAGCGGTCACCAGATAGTGGAAAATGCAAGACTCTCTGCACTTCAGGTAAGCTACTTGCCAAAATTTTGCTGTTCTGTTTTGTCTTAGTTTTTACAGCTCATTTTTTGCTTTTTTATCAATTATACCCAATATTGACGTATGCCTCGCTTTGAACGGTTGTCTAGAGTCTGATTATAAATTTTTTCCATATATACTGGTCATCCTGTTTTGTTTAAAAACAAAAAAAGGTTGTTGTTTCTGTTTTTGTAGCGCACTTATGTATTCTCTGTGCAAGAATTTCTTTGTGTAACTTTATAGAGGCATTCTTTCAGCGTTATGCGGACATCGTTGTCATTTTTCTTCAAAATGGAAAACTTGAGCAAGTATAACAATGAGTCTCAGTAAATTTTCTCTTTGCTGTAACTTAATTTCTATCTCTATATTATATCGTCTCGCTTTACCCTGCTCGTTATGATATTTGTTTTTTGTTTTTTGAACATGGAAATTATGAGCAAAGCTCCTTTTAGTGATTGGTCCCAATGTGTTGTAGAAAGTGGAATTGCTATCATTTCTTCCATAGATTATTACCAGAGCTTTGAAATTGTTTGATTTCTATGTGTGTTGATTAGATGAACCACAATATTGAGCCTGTGTATCGCAAATTAGTGGTTTCTTTTGGGACATTGAAGGGTTTTCTTATCTCAAATAAGTTAAAGCTTTTTCATCTGTTTTCTGCTGCAATCAATTCAGTATTTTTATTGCAAGATATTGTCTAGGTTTATACTATCTCACAGAATTATGTTCAGTGAGCTAAGTGCAGTGTTTGGCTAAAAGAAGCTCACCGCTTTACTAAATATACCCATGAAGATTTCCTAGCTGTTGTAATCTTCTGTCAATCTCTATGATTTGCTCCCTCTCCTTTTTACCCCTTGCACTTAAATAGCATTTTGTGCTCAATTATACTGAAACTATTGTAATCTGCTTTAGACTAGGGTTCTAATATATATTTTCAATTTCTTTTAGAAAGACCTCGAAAAGGAAATGAAGGTCAAGGATGGTCTGGAAAAGTTCATGTCATCAAATACGTCTGCCAGTAAGAGATACCTTGAGGATTCCAAAAATATGCTCGATGTTAGTGGTTTCATCTCGGTTTTTT